GTGTGAGGCAAGCACTCCATCACTGAGCCACAATTCCAGCCCCCGCATCAGGGGTTTCTTAACCCTATGGTTTGTCCAAGGAGCAACTCTGATTTTTCCAGGGATTAAAAACTTGGCATTTGGGCTGGGCATGGTAGTGCATGCCTGTAATCCTAGCTACTTAGGAGGCTGAGACAGGAGGATCATAAGTTGGAGGCCAGCCTAGGCAACTTAGCAAGACCCTGTCTCAAAATAAAACTTAAAATTTTTTTTAATTTGTTATTTTAGTTATACATGACAGTAGAATGTATTGTGACATACCATACATACCATGGAGTCTAACTTCCCATTTTTGTGGTTATACGTGATGAGTCGTGTATTCACATATGAACATGGAAAAGTTATGTCTGATTCATTCTACTTTCTTTTCCATTTCCATCCCCCTCCCTCCATCCACTTCCCACTGTCTAATCTGGTGTACCTCCCCATGACCCCGTGTCTGTTCTGAGTCAGCATTCATATATTGAGAGAACATTTGGCCTTTGGTTTTTTGGGACTGGCTTACTTCACTTAGCATGATAGTCTCCAGTTCCATAGATTTACCAGCAAATGCCATAATTTCATTCTTCTTTATGGCCGAATACCATTTAATTTTGTGAATATACCACTCAAAAAAATAATTTTTTAAAAAGGGTGATATTAGCACAAAAAGACTGGGCCAGATGCAAACTTCACAGATCAGCCAAATGCTTTTGTTCAGGAATGGGGAGTCATGGTTCTGATGGACTCACTCTCCTGGTGGAAAATGAGCCACTGAACAAAGAAGGGGCTGGGCTTATGTAAGTTATGGGTGATTTAGTGAGTGTGTCAGTTTGGGCATTCAGGAATTTGGGTTTTTGTGTTGGGAGTCAGTGGTTAGCACCTGGAGAGGATTTATCTTGGAAGAGATTAGTGTTTCCTAAAGACTATCATTCTAGGTTTGATGAAACACTTTCTCCCCACCAGTGGCCAGCATCTGAAAAGGATTTATCTTGAAAGAGATGAAAGCTGTCAGTGTATGGCTTTCTATTTCATTCACTCCCTTTCCCAGGCCACACTATCTTGGGGTTTTTCATTTTCCATATCCAATAGGTGGCGATGTAGCTCATTGGTAGAGTGAACCTGTGTTCAATATTCAGTACCTCCTACCCGCCAAAAAGCTTTGCATTTGAAAGAGGGGATCTGGATCCTCTCTAACTACCAGCCCACCCTCCTTTCTTGCTGAGAACCCAATTCTGTGTCAGCAGCAAAATGCCCAGAAGAGGAGGGATGGCCCAAGCAAAAGCAAATTGAAGAAATCTCCATTCCTGTTGCCTGTGATGAAGGGGAGGACTCTGCTGGTGGGCCATGAGAACCAACAGACGGGAAGAACTCACAGGCCGCAGTAGGCCACGAGGTAGGACTGCCGCGGCCCGTCTGGTTTCCTTTACATAGAAGTTTGGGGCTTGGGGGCATCTGTGGTCATGAATGGCCTTCTTGGCAGATACACCATGTGGCCAGATGCCAGATGCTTGCTGGCAGCTCATGAGTTGAAATTGGACCCAGTTTTGCTGGAGAAGGAATTACTGGTCCCAGCTGCTGGGTAGCCTGGGCCTGCTGCCAGGAGTGTCCAGTGGGCCAGTCTATTTGTCTCTCCTACTTTCACTATTGCAGATGGAATAATAGCAGCCTGGACCTTAAAGGACCAGTGGTGTGGCAATACATGTACTAGTGGCAAGGCTGATCATGGTGATCCGCTCAGAAGTTCTGTGGGTTTGCAGGCTCTCAGCAGTGGGCAGGGATGGGGGGCCAGCCCCTCTCTGGAGTACAGCTGGGCCCCAATGGGGAAGGACCACAAGTGAATGATCCCTCTGTAGGAGCTCAATGGTCTGGGTACAGGAGATGTGGGAGGCCAGGCCCTGAGGCTGTCAGAAGCCGTCCAGGGGTTGCATGTGGGTCACCACGCATGGAAGCCTTGTGGATAGAGACATCTGGTGTCTGGGAATGACCAGTGGACATTTCCTCTGGTCAACTGCCCAGAGACAACGTGAATTTATTTCCTGCTCTGCCATGGCCCACACAGCACCTGCCAAGACTCCCTTGAAACCTTATCCCTGCCTTTGATGTACCCCCTTAAATCAACCACCAGAGCCATCTCAGAACAGGACGGATGTAAGTTCCCAGCAGGTTCATCTGAGGATGGCCCTCTTCCCCTCTCCCTGCATCCACCTGACGGTGGCTTTGTGGATGGGCCAAAAAACACACCAAGAACTATTGCTCCAAGCTGTCAGTTTATTTCCTTAAAATAGCAATTTCTTCAGAACAGGGCGGGTTGCTAGCCTCAGTCCCCCCGTGCCTTCCTGCGTACCGCCTGCACCAGCAGCTCTGAGTAGTGTTCCAGCAGGGCTTGCAAGTCTGGACTGGCCAGGGGGCATAGCATAGGTGGGAATGGGGGACCTGGGCTGGCCAGGGGGCATAGTGTGGGTGGAGACGGGGGATCTGGGCTGGGTAGGGTTGGGGCTGGGGTCGTATCAGTCCCAACTAGCCAGTCGCTGGCTTCCAGCTGGCTGTGGATCCAAAGGAAGGTGGAGGCCAGCTCAGCCTGTGCTTGCTGCCGTTCAGTGCCCACCTGGTTGCTGGAGACCAACTGTAAGGGATGTCACCTATGTCAGGGGCCAGCCAGCCCAGACAGTCCCAAGGAGCTTCCTCAGCCCTTTCCCTCAATCATGGCTTACCATGTGGTAAAGGTCCAGGGCTTCTTGGAAGGCAGCCTGCAGTCTGTGCACGATGCTCCCCACATTGCTCAGCTCAGGGGGAGCTGAAGGAAGGACCTCAGCTGGCAGCCCGTGTTCCCTCCAGTGTCCAGGGCTGCTCCGGATCAGACTGGGTGCATCTGAGGGTGGACAGGAGGGAATGAGCAAGACACTTTGGCTTTCTACCTGCTCTGGGAAGAATCCAGATGGTTGGGCTGATTTCAAATGTTGTCCTGTCTAGAACACTTCCCTCAGTCCCCAACGTTCCCTCCCCTTCTCTCTGCAGGTCTTTGCTAAATGTAACCTCCTCCCTGTGGCCTTTTCTCATCCTCCTGTTTAAAGTGGCCACTGGTGCTCGCCTTCTCACTGCCCAGCCCCTTCTCTTAGTTCTCTTTAGCACACAGCACTCTGATAAATTTGACAATTTCCTTATAGATTTTGTCTGGCTATCTCCCCCAAGAAAGATGTCAATTTTCTGTTACTACCATGTCCCATGTCCCCAGGACCTAGAACAAGGTTCAACACATATATTGATGTGCTCATTAAACATTTATGCAAATAAATGAACAAATAAAGATTTGCAGAGTCCCTTTGGTTAGGTCAAGTGCCCAGATTAGAAGCTGAGCCAACTAGCACAGGGGATGATCTTAGGGGTCTGTCCCTTGTCCTCAGGGTAACACTCACCAGGGGTGGGCTCCAGGAGGGATGTTGTGCCACCAATGGCCCCAGGCCTGGTGCCTGCAAGCTGGGGGCTGTTGGGGTGGGCAGGAGGGGTAAGGGGCTCAGGGGCTGGGAGCTTTGGAAGAAAGACAGARTTGTGGAGCCTCATGGTGCTCACATCAACAGGGCTGGGGGCTAGGAAGCTGCCTGTTATACCCGCTACACCAGGTTGGGTGCCTGTGAACTCCTGGGACCAGACACACGTGGTAGGTGGCTCCAGCGGGGGTGGAGGCAGGAGGAGCCTATCATAGACACTTGACAGGGTCAGTCTCAAGCTGGCTCGGGCCTCATGGTTGCCCCAGGAGGGCAGGACAGGTTCTTGGCCTTCATTGTCAGAACTGGGTATCACTCTGGTGGTCATGGCCTTGAGCTCCTGGCCCAAGGAGGCCAGTTCCCCCATGGATGAGGGCCTGTGGAGGGGCCTGGTCAACTCAGCCACGACTGGGCTCTCACTGTCCCCAAGGGAGATGCTGCGTGATATCCTGGCATGGGAGCTAGCAGTGGTCTTCATGTATGAACAGGGTGAAGGGAAGACACCCTGAGCCAGGCTTGGGGCAGGTATCGACGTGGGAGTCGGCTTCCTGTCTGTGGTTGGCACTGAGGAGGCAGGGACACAGGGCACCAGGCCTGGGAGGCAGGGGCCTGTAAAGGAAGCAGATGGCTCACTCTCAACACATCAGTCACAGAGGGTACAGGGTCTGAATAGATACTTCCCACAGTTAAGCTGGGCACCCAGGGCTGTTTGTCTAGATGAGAAACCCAGGGTTGTTTTTCTAGAATTGGGAACACTTACTCAGTGGGCACCAGGCCTCCAGGGTCTCGAGGGATTCCTCAGCCTTCCCCCCAGAGAGGACCTGCAAGCACAGCTGAGGTGAGGACAAGGCCTCCTAGTTCTCAGCCCTGTGCCCTGAGGGAGGTGACTCCAATACTCACGTTGATCTTGTCTGGGGAGGCGTAGCCAGTACCTGCTCTCAGGAGCTCTGTTTTGGGCTGGCTTCCCCCTTGGCCTGTGGACTTGACCTCTGGAGACTTCAAAAGGTGCAGGGGCAGTCGGGAAGGGAAGGCATGGGTGCACCTGAGGAAGCCAGATGGGAGAGAGACCCTCACACAGCCTGCTCTGTGGTGCCTGTAGGGGCGGGGGAATGGAGGGAGTTACTAGCTTCTACCTGGATTTCTTTTGGAGGCGTGAGAGAAACTGGGCTGAGATGCTCAGGCGAGGATTGAAGAAGTCCTCAGAGTCAGAGACCTTTGTGTCTCCCAGGGACCCATGAAAAAGCTCTAAGAGAAGATGATGACAGGGCCCTCAGATTCCTCCTGGCCAATCAGTCCTGGATGCAGGCAGACCCACAGGCCAGCCAGTAGATTCCCAGAAGCCCCATCAGCAGACATAACACATGCACTTTAGAAGCCAGCAGAGCAGGGAGAGGAACTGTGCAGCTCAGTCCTTAAGAGGTCATCTGCTCTCCTGCTCTGCCAGGAAAAGACCTATCCCAGGGACACCCACACTGTGCTCAGCACTAGACAGACAGCCCAGGCAGGTCTGGTGCTGGGTCGGGCCCTACCTTCAGGGTGGACATCAGTAAGCGTCTCAAAGTGGTGGCGGAGATACTTCTCCTGCTCGGGGGTCTGAGGCAGGGAGCTGTTGGCCAAGCCTGGTCCTTCAGGTCGGGACGACTCTTCTGCTGTACCTGGGCATTCTGGAAAGGGGTGCCAGGAAGGAGGGACAGGGAAGAGAAAAGCTGTCAATACCATGAGTCATGGCAGGTGTCACCTGACAATGGAGAAAGCTGGACTAACCTGTCACACACCCTATTGCCATTGGGCTGATAGAAAAGGATCTCATCTTCCAGGCAAGGAAACTGAGGTTCAGGCCTAACATGGGGCCAGGGGGTTTTATGTATTGTGACTATCTCTTAGACCCATGCACGGCCCTTACCCAGGCGTCTSGCTCACCTGGCATGTGGGGCTTCATCATAGCACACTGAGGGTCTGGGTCAGGTTGTGGAGGAGTGGAATCAATGGTGGCAAAACTACACTCCAAGTCGACTTCCGACTCCCCTGAGTCTGCAGGAACAAAGCACAGGTCAGAAGTCCACTGCTGGGGCCCTTCCTGGGTGAGCCAGCCAGGACATGTGGCTCAGCTGCTCTTGGGCTTTGGTTTCCCCATCTGAAGAATGGAGGCAATGATAGCCCACCTCCCATTTTTATGAATCAGCAAGTTACAATCAAGGAGGTGGCAGAGTTGGGCTCTCAGCTAGGGGGCTGCTGGGTTCCAGAATGTTCAGGTAATAGCAGGGACTATGTCTGCCTTCTGTGACAGACAGTGAGCTCCAGGAGGATTGGGTCAAGGTCACCATCAGTGCCCAGAAAGGGGCCTAGCTGAATGAACAGACTTTCATAGGGCCTTTGTCTGCCCTTCACTCACCCTCAGGTTGGCTCTGATCCTTGGAGCTGATGGAAGAGACTCTGAGATAGGAGTCTCCTTGCTGGTCTCCAGGCCCTGACTCCACCTCCTTCTCACTGAAATGCCAACAGGGGGGATTGTACTGGTAACAACTGGCCCCCACCCTGAGCTCCTAGGCACCTGCGCCCTGCTCCTCCTGGGAGCACTTCTGCAGCCTCTCTTGCTTCCTTTGAGTGCTCCCTTCCACATTTCAGCTGGGGCCAAGAAAACTGAGGCTGTAGCTGAGGCGACAGGCCTGGGCACCTGACCCACCTGGGACTCATCCCTCTGCCTCACCCATCCTTATTCCCACAGGCCCACTGGGGGAGCAGAGAGTTCTTCCAGAGTGTGCCTACCAAAAGGGGGTTTCCTCTATCCGACTAAGGCTGCTCTTGGTGCAAGAGGACCCACCTGTCTGTCCCTGTGATTGTCATTCCTGCCTCCAGGGAGTAGATGATGAGCTCTCTGGCCTCAGGTGACTCCCTCTGTAAGGGCAGGAAGGAGGAATGCCCACAGCCATCTTCCTGGGGACTCTCTGACTAGGGAGGGAAAAGCATAGCTCTTCTGAGAAAGCAGTGGCACTCAGGCTCTCAGATGCTAGCTGTTACATAAGTGACGGAGCAGGAATAATGGCAGCAGCCCACTGCTGGACACAGAGCTATAGCCTCTGCCAAGTGCTCTGCTACCCCCGCCCCGAGTTCCTTCTGTGCTCCCTCTGCACTACTGGTCCCTTTACAGGTGGGGAATAGGCATGTCTTCAAAAGGATAAGAGGCCCAAGCCTTCAAGAGTCCATTTATACGATGCTTAAGAATAGGCACACCACTGGGTGCAGTGGCGCATGGCTATAATCCCAGTTACTCAGGAGGCCGAGGCACGAAAAATCACAAGTTTGAGACCAGCCTCAGCAATTTAGTGAGGCCCTAAGCAACTTAGTGAGACTCTGTCTCACAATAAAAATAAAAAGGGCTGCGGATGTGGCTCAGTGATAAAGAACCCCTGGTTTCAATTCTAAGTACCCCCCCCAAAAAAAGAAGAAAAAAAAGCCATCAAGCTGTATACCTATATCTATGCACGTTACTGGATATATAACATGTATTAGAAGAAAATTTATAATATTATGTATTAGAATAAGAAAGAATGATCTTTTATAAAATAATAGGGTAAGAGCTAAAGTTGCTTGGTTACCTCTCTCTAGGGGCCCAGGCCTTGTCCTTAGCACTGCCTTTCTACAAAAGTCCTCAGAGGTAGAGGAGATTGCTTTATTTATTTTGGGTATTAATTTATTCAGAGATGGTTTTGGCCATTTTTTTTTTAAATGGAGGCCTAGAGAGGTAAGCCTCTTACTTCAAGTCACATGGACACAGGGCTTAAACCAGAGCTCTGTCTATTTGAATGGCCCCCACTCAGGAATAGGCCTATACCAGGGTCCAATTTCCTTCCTTCCCTCCTTCCTTTCTCCCTCCCTCCCTCCCTCCTTCCTTCCTTCTTTCTTTTTTTAAACCAGGGATTGAACTCACGGACACTCAGCCACTGAGCCACATCCCCAACTATTTTGTATTTTCTTTAGAGACAGGGTCTTACCGAGTTGCTTAGTGCTTCCCTATCGCTGAGGCTGGCTTTGAACTTGCAATCCTCCTGCCTCTGCCTCCCGAGCTGCTAGGATTACAGCAGCTGTGCCTGGCTTCAAGGCCCCATGTCTTAACCCCAAGTGACCCACTTCCCAAAGGACCCCAAGGTTCACCCTTCTGTCCCCCACTATCTCCCATAATCTTCTCCATACCCCTGGAATCAGACACTCGGCACTATTTTCAAAATGAAAGCATGGAAACCCCAAGTCCTGGGTGGGAAGGCTTGGGGCAGGGGCTGTAGGCTGGGCTAGGACGTACCTCGCTTAGCAGGCCTGCCAGGTTCTGTGGCTCCACTGTGTCTAGAATGGAGTCCTCTAGACTTTCAGGCTTCATGGGGGTAAAGTAGCAATCCAGGTCCCGGGCATCCAGAATGGTCTTGAGGGGCTCCTGGTCAGCCCGCTCTGCCCAGCGGCCATGTGGCTGGTAGCTGCGCTTGGTGTGGAAGGCTGAGCCATCTGCCACATCATCATCTCCTAGCTTGAGGGACAGTGGATGGTCAAGCAGCTAGCCAAGTGCTCACCAACTGCAGTGAGAGCCATGGACACTGCATGGACCTCACACAGTCTTTTGGCTTTAAATACTTTTCAGAAACAACTTTCAGAAACATATCTCCAGCCTTTCTCTTAAGGCAGCTGCTCTACATCTCTGCGTGGATGTTTAGTAGACATTCCTGAGTTAACCYGTTGAAAACTCCACTCCTGATCTCCCCAAACCTGTTCCTCCTAAAACCTTCCCTGCCTTTGTTATTCTTTCCAGTTGTTCAGGCCCTAAATCTTGGCCTCATCCTTTCTTCCTCTCCCTCAGTCTGTCCCTTATGCTCCACATTGTGTGTCATCTACAGATTCTGCTAGCTCTTCCATCCATACATCCAAAATATGGCTACCTCTTCTTACTCCCACCCTAGTTCTACTTAACACTGCTTCCTGACAAAACCACTGCTGGAGAGACAGTGGAGGGTGCCGTTTGAGAACACAGGGTGTGAAGCTGGCCTGCACAGGGCCAACCTCACATCTAATGCCTAGCAGTGTGACACCTGGATAATTACTTATACCTTTCTGGGCTTCATTTTCCCTATCATGGAGCTTATCTTATAAGTTTATCCTATTCTTAAAAGCCCCTGGGGCTGGGGATGTGGCTCAAGAGGTGCTCCCTGGCATGCGTGCGGCCCGGGTTCGATCCTCAGCACCACATACCAACAAAGATGTTGTGTCCACCGATAACTAAAAAATAAATATTAAAAATTCTCTCTCTCTCTCCTCTCTCTACTCTCTCG